GCATCTAACTATGAAAAAATTACACTCCAAAAGACCCCGGGCTTCTGACAAAACAACCCGGGCTTAAGCCCAATAAGCCACCCCCCCGCTCCGCCCCTGACTCAGACCAAGTCCTTTGCACTAGATTTAAGCACTTTGCAACTTGTCCTTTTAATGTGCTCCTTTCTCTTGTTTTGTATTTATTCTTGTTATTTATTCCTGTTGTCATACCATTTGTATTTGTTGCACAGTTGGTGAGTAGCACCAACAATTTCATTGTACAATAACAAAAAGGGCTATTCTATCCTAAATTACATTTTCATGCAAATATGGAAAAATCAATATTTCTACAGGCTTTTTCATAGATTGTAGCCTGAACTGTGCTTCACAGGTTGACAAGCCTTTTTCTCTGAGCTGCTCCTTTGGGGGATTTCCTTTACAAACTCACATTTTGACAGGTTTATAAGAATGTGTTAGCCTTTAAGATTTTATAAATTCCAGATAGGAATGAACATCTCAACATGGGAAGAACAACAACAACAAAAAAAGACAAATTGAAGTTTGAAGTTTCACTGACACATTGGTCTGACTGAAAAATTACCTGCCTCTAAGCCGGTTTAGTCCAGTGAAATGTGACCCTGATGGTGAACCTGCTTTGAGTATTCCTGTTTGGTTCCCAGGGGGTGAATTAACTGCTGTGGTATGTTGTCAGGCACCTGAGATGGAGCCAGTATAGTGGGTGCTGTTGATGAGTTTCAGACCCGAGTGGCTGTACCTCCATACAGAGCTGAATTCAGCAGCTTAGACCCATCCAAGCTCAAATCAGAGGACAGACTTAAAAGTGATAAATGGCCTACGCATTTAGAAGACCTTAAAAAACCAACTTAAATACATTCACAGTTGTTTCATTTCTGTACATTATCTCAAAGGAACGTTTATGTTAAATCAGTGTTTGATTATTGCCTGATGGTTTGTAAACCATCTATGAACATTATCTTTATAAATCCGTGGTTAAGATTATGCATACCATCTACAATCAATATTGGATTATAAGGGTTTAACTGCTGTTTATACTTGTTCCAATATTGAACGGTTATCCTTTCTGAACTTAGTAGATGCAGTTTGAAACAGTGTAGGTGTGATAAAGCATAAAGCTCATCTTTGTGTCACACAGTAACAGTTAATCATTCATTACAATGATTGAAGGACAAAAACCAAAGTGGAAAATGATATTTCAGGCTGCACTCGGCACACAATGCAGATCCCACAAGAAAGTTCTCCAGAGTCTAGAAAGTGATACCTGAACTGTTTGAAAGAGAAAAAGAACAGTAAATACACCATTGAATGAATAAATGTAAAAATAAATCCTACAATACTCATGATCATCATAGGTTTATTTTAAACAGAATATGATTAGTGACACGTTTAACCCCCTGGTTCTCAAACTGGGGATTATAACAAAGATGTTCAGTGGCTGAGTGGTTACTTAGAAGTATTGGCAAAATTAACTTCAGTCTCAGAACCTTTATCAGAATATAAAGACAGCATATATAAGATACCTCACATGTGGGAAAAAAACAGTAACTCTGAATGAACAATGGGCTGTGTCATGACCATTTGCATATTAAAGATCAAGGAACTGACCTCACAGCCCATTGTTCATTCAGTGGTGCTAGTTTCAGTCATTGTGCAATGAACTGTTTATAAGGTTGGGGAAACCTGGAGTCAGCTGAGACTAAAGAAGTCACTTGGATGAGTGAAACATTTCTCTCACTAAAACCTAAACCAACTAAAACCTGCGTCCAGATGAACAGAATCAACTTTTTGGCAACTTTGTAGAATATTATATTGCTTTGCAAGTGGGCTGTGGGAGAGCAGCAAGGCTAAATGCTAACTGCTAGCAAGGTTTGGACAAGTTTTTGAAAGGACTGCTTCACCATGATGGTTCATGAAGAAAGCCAGAAAGGCTCTCTACACATTTATAAATTCATTACAAACAAAAAGAAAAGAGGAGTGTGACACTGACCAATATATCTAACTATTCAAATCCAGGGTCTAGTTTGGCTATAGTAGCCGTAACTACCATTAACAGAACATTGGTATTTGGTGGTGATAGTGTAACTGATTGCCCATTAATTATAGCTTGACCTATCAACATACTCAACCTGATTCTGTGCAGGGTTCTACCTGATAGAAAAAAAATGAACTCCACAGAATAACCATACCATTATTTTTATTGTAGATATAACAGGCTACAATTATAAAAACATGGGGGGGAATTAAAGGTATTTGTGACCCATAAGGTGCAGACCGCAAACCACTGCAGCACGGTATTACAGTATGACTGAGTTCTATTCCAAAGTCCCTTAAATATATTTGCTGCAGGTTGTGATGGCCCATAATTCCTCATACTGATAACAGTTCACTCGATCTGTGTAGCTCCATTCTGCTGGTGTTCTGCTGCATGGTGAACAGGATGTTCGATGTTGGCTTCATGAGACCAATATCTTGCTGCCAAGAGTTCTCTCTTTACCCCACTTTTCACCGTTTAACATTTAACAAAGCAATGTTGGTTTTCTTACACTCCATATTTGATCCTTGAAGGAAAAACCCACCTTAAAAAACACCAATAATGCTGGATACGGTGACATTTGCTTTACAAATTTACAACCAATCAGCCAAATGCATGTGGCCGACCTGACAGAGATCTAGTGGCTGCCCAACATAAAAACATTTGAAACTCTGATGTCACGGTGGATGTAAAAAAAAAAAAAAAAAAAAAAAAAAAAAAAAAGAATTTTCTGACAGTCATTCACAGAAAATGTAAACACTTTGGAAACTTGATTGTAATGAAGCATTGTAGAAAACCTTACCCATTTTCCAAGATTGTCATACCATTCATCACAGTACCCACTGATATCCACTGTAAGGTCTTAAACAAATACAGGAGCACACCGTAGTGAGTCCACGTCCACCTTCAGCACCATAAACGTTAAAGCACTTCTACCACCACAATATGCTGTTTGTTTATCTTCCCTGTTTGTTAAACTGCACACACCTCGCCGAGACTTAAAATTCACTGACTCTGTAATCAGGCGTCAGATCCATTAGTCTAAGCTCGCACTAAAGCAGAGCCATTAGGAACACATGTTGGAAACTGACATGTGGACCCTGCATCAACATTTCCATATCAGTAATAGAACCTGACATTTCAAAATAAAATAAAGTATTATTGAGACAATGTATTGTTTTAAGATCAGGAACGCTTGATGTAATTAAGAAATGACAATCATAGTTTGTCAAATCCACAGTACACAATGGTGAAGTATTACAAAGCCAGTATCAGTTAATATATCAGTACTGAAAGTTTGCTGTTTTGGTTAGGCTCTACTCTACCTTGAAAAGGACAATTTGTTGTTTCCACAGACTTTATGTAATCACATCAATTAAATGGAAAATTACAGAGTGAGCTGTGGACACAAAGCTGCATGGGCTAGATACTTTGACCTACTGGAGGAGACCCACTTTAGAGTCTCCATAGTAACTGTTGGAGTTTGCACAAAGGACCAAGAAGTGCAGTGTTTGCTCGTTTATAACAGCTGCAGAAAGAAGACTGCTGCTGATGCTGAAGGTGTTCTGATAAATCCCAACTTGAAGACCAAACAGTGTTACTACAGTAATCTATATAGTTTGACTTCAAAGTGTCACTTTTTTCATGATTGGTGTCAAAACATTCTAATTACATCCACAGCGAAAACGAGCAGTAATTTTACAGGCAAAGAATTCACAGAAGATCACAGACAATCAAATGTAAACAGTTTATGGTCCAATTCGTTTGAATGACAGACCACTTTCAGCCTACACTTGAAGAGCAGACGTGCTCATGTGAGCTGCTTCTCACAGGCATGAGTAGATTTTTCCTTTAGGTTCTCAAAAGGTTGGAAGTTTGATTACATGTGCCAGCCTCTTTTCTCCTCCTGTGGTGGGCTAGTTTGCATTCTGTGACAAAGCAGGATTCAATTCAAAGTGTCAGTTTAACTTTACAATTCATTTCCAAACACATTTAAGGCAGGATATCCGACACATGACATCCAGACATTTTAGCCCCAATTACAGAGATTCTTCTTACAGTGTATTTGTCAGGTGAGAGCCTGCAGGCACGGTTTTATCTTTCCTCTCCAATCGTCTCATTCTCTCATTTTAAACATAGATTTGTGTAACACCAGCAACTGAGACAGCAGCAAACCACAAGTTAGTCCTTAATAACATGGCATCATATATACACACACTGCTTTTTCCTCCATTGTTCAGTCCCTTTCACACTTTGACATGAGGTAAGGTATGGCGCCCAAGTGCAATGCTCAATTGTGCTACATGTACAAAAAAAAAAAAAAGAAAAAAAAAGAAAAAAAAACTTTGCCAGTAGAAGAAAACATCGTCCACTCCAAATAATCCAGGGCTACCTTAATTTCAGCACTCCCACACACGTCTTCATCTCCATCTGAAAAGGATCCTTGTTTTCCATCGGTCACACATAATACAGTGGGCGTGGCACCGCGAGCGATTTCACATTTGTTTTGTTTTTTTAAAATAATCCCTCTTCTGTCCCTCCCAGAGTCTCACTGATGATTAGTGTGTTCAGCTCTGTGTGTTTACTACAGAGTGAGGAGTGGCAGGGTGAAACTGACAGCCCACAGTGTCTCTAATGGGGGAATGAGAAATCACAGCCTGGTTTTCATAGTTCCACTCTGCCTGCTTGAGAAATAATAACAGATTGCACTCTGACAGTGATAAGCTGGAAAAAGGTGGACTGAAGTGTTGCAAAGTTTCACATTTACTCTTCACATAGTATTCTGTTGGACCAAAGGAAGTGAATGGAAATCTGGGAAAAAGAAAGAATCAGGTTGCTGCAACAAACGGGTCAACAGAAATTTGGAATTTGTGGCCATATTCAAAACTACCGTACTGCAGCAGCTATCAGTCTGAACTTCGTTTGGGTGTTTGTAACACAGAATACTTCTGCCCTCTGTTGTTGATCGAACCCTTTCGGGCACCCAGTCAGAGCCAGTTCCTGTCCGGAGTTCTCAGGTTTATGTTTTCTCTAGTAACACTTAGCATGGGTCAGAGTTAGAAAATGTCTGCAGTGGGTCTTCAGTCAGCCAAGGACACTGGAGCCAATCAGTGACATGATTTATTTAGGAATAATCTTCAGTTTAATTACGGAGTTTAGATCAAAAGCAAGAACATATACATTCATGTTGATTTGTGTATTCAGTGTGTCGCTGTAGATGCTGTGAACAACGCTACTCAGGAGGCTACTCCACTGACTCCACTAACCCTGCCAGTAAAACAAAACAAAACTCCAGGCCAAAAATCCAATCCTGCAGCTAAATGCTTTCACCAGGCATTTTCCTTTTCAGTGTTCCCCAAGTCAGTTTCCACAGACCCACTCTAAACAATGACCCACCTTGGCCAAGCATCATAGCTAACATTGTCCGTAGCCCATACATGGCAAGTCATCTGCATTTGGAGACGACTACAGGTAATGACCGAGCCGTCCGAGTACGGGCAAACGCTGGTTTGGAAAATGCACCCATGCAGGATCTGGCATGTGGTTTTTGAAAACGGCGTCAAGGCAGGCACATATTTGCATACAGAGTGGAGGACTGAGAGCCAATCACGAGTGGTACTCTACACCCACGGAGATGCATTCTAATGACGGAGTGAAGTGGGCTGTCCACTTTGGATCAGAACACTGAATAGCCTTGTTAACATCAGATACAAGCAGGGCCTGCGATCCAGTCCGTGCACACGCTGGTTTCCTCCCACAGAAGGCACTAAGATCTGAGTCACATCTTTGATTCAAGACAAGCGACGCAAATCATTATGATGGAACTGGAGATTGGCTTATTGTATACTGAAGATCTGATGTAGACGGCGCTGTCAGAGTGCACTGAACTGAACTGCAGTCTTGTGCAGAAATGAACACTGAGAGGACGATCCTTTGAGGTAGAAGACCTGTGTGGAGGATTTTGTGACCGATTAGATTTCAGATCGCTATACTAACAGTTCAGGTGTCACACAGGTAAAAGTCTTTTCCAACCCTTATTTATGAAGACAGAACTGAAGAGTTAAGTCAAGTATTTTCACCGCCTATTTTTTGGAGCAAATTTAAGAGTGCAATCCGATTACCTCTACAAGCACGTATCCTCGTGTCAATCGTCTGTTTTACCCCTGAATTCGAAAGGAAACTAAATTGTTTGAAATGAATAGATGATGAAACTAATTTATGTGCAGAGAAAACAATTCCTATCCCCGCCCTCTAAAAATCATCAAGTGCCTCAAGTATGAGAGGGGAGAAGAGTCGACCACACAGCTTTCCTTTACAGCTCTATAGCAAACAAACAGGACCACCAAACTAAACAGTTAAAAAAAAAAAAAAAAAAAAAAAGGAGGTCAAATAAAGAGGTATTATAGTTACAGTGCAAAAAAGATGAGAAGTTCAAGCTTAATACAAAAAAAAATTAGCACCAAACAAAAAAGAAAAACAAAGACAAGAAAATGCATGCAATTAACTGAGGTATTCAAGTGAAAAGGGCTTATTTATGAGGGCGAGGGGGGAGACATTTAGCAAGAAGCAAAAACCACAGACAAGGCTGGTATCCTTACCCTCGGGAACTGACTTCATTCTCATAGTGTCACATCTACTATAGCTTTGGTAGGTAAGGGATGTGAGGAACACTGTTGAAATGAATTGGTCTTGTTCACAAAGACGGTCTGAAAAGATTCCGTGTCACACACGAGTATCCAACTCATAGAAGATTCTGCAGCATATTGAACGGGTGAGTTTCTCTTTTTTCCTCGTATCAAAACTGGATGATTTGCTGTGGAAAGACATCTATTGCGCAAGACTGACCAAGTCGACTCCATCCACTCTTAGCATCGCTAAAACCAAATCGCAGAGATAATGCCTTAAACATCTCACCTGGCTGTCGCACTACATATAGCCGTAGACTTGAAACATTTATAGAAGCCATCCAGTTGTCTCGGTTTATACAGAAGCTACAAGAACATGCAACCTCAAGTGCGGTTAGAAACTAGTTTAAATTACAGTAACTGGGAATGTTGTAATTCCTATCAGTTTTGCAGGATGACGGTGAGCCTTAGCATCTAAGGCCGATAATATCATTTATGCATTTCATATATATTTATATACTTTGCTACGTATATGATTTTGGTGTCAATCTGACCACACCATTTTAAAAATAACAGATCCTAATGGAATAAGTGCAAAACTGATCAAGAATACATTTCAAGACAGATTAGACAGAAATGCCACCAGGTGTTCGCTCCAGTGGTATCTGTTAGCCACGTCTGCCATTAGCATTTTACAAACCGCTTTAAAACTGACTGGCACTAGTGCACAGGCTGAGGGGTTTAGCGTTTTTTTTTCTTCCTACATACACCTCTGATTGAACTATATACAATCTAATACTACACAATAAGCATAAGCCTCATCTCACTGACACAAGGTTAAAAACAGATGACAACAAAAAGAACAGTGGAGAATTGACACTGTGACCTGACCTTTTTTTTTTTTTATATATAAACACCTTGCTATACGTTAATAAAGCACTCATGATTACACAAAGCAGAAAGGAAAAGTAAAGATTGTGTTTGCGCAAAAAAAAAGAAAGGTAGAATATCTAATGTGAAATAGGCTGTGATATCAGTCTTCTTCAATTGTTGTGTCTGCACACAGTGTTCCCTGGGTGCCGTTGTTGTGCCATCACAGGCTAAAGATACAGGGCTAGTATCGTGCTGTGTTCGGAAGCCGACGTTGCTCTGTCGGCTTCGGTAACTTAGGTGCTAATGCTGACAGCTCAGTAAGAGAGCTCAATTGTTTTGGACCTGAGGTTGATTGGCTTTGAGGCTGCGCAGAGCTCGTCGCGCCGCTGCCGACTTGGCAATCCGGTAGCTGCGGCCAACACCTTTAAACTTGCCCTTTCCGACGACCTCCACCGTCACGCGGACTTTCCCATCATACGTTCTTTCTGCGGGGCTGCAAAGACAGGAGCGGGAACAACTGTTATTCTGAGTAATATACCAGCATTCTTTGAGTTGAATATCACACGTCCAATAAGAAATGATTCAAAAAGGTAGGGAAAAAAGGAAACTTTAAAACATGAACCATGAAATAACTCCCCGAAATCTTTAATTGTTTTGATAACAGTGTTTGTTGAACCTTTACACAAAATATATCAAATTTGAATCTGCATATATGAGTATTAATTTGTATCACATTTGCTACATTAGCCACATTTTGCAATTCAGCCATTAAACATTTATCATGCAATTTATATCATTTTTTTTAAGGAAAAAGAAAAGTCACGCTGATGATGTAGAAGTCTCAAAAACACACAAAAACCCTTGTAATCAAATATGATACGCTTCCAGAGATGGAGTTTTGCATAAGTAAGAAGATGTCAGAGACCAGTGTTAGTCCAGTATGATTAGTATACCTTTTATATTTTGATCATTATGCTAATTACACACTGTCCAAAAGTTTAATATCACTAAATTCAGCTGCCCTGAGTTAATAGCATCCACCAAATCCTTTCTTGTTTCTTTAATAGTTGATCCCATCTTAAAGAAAATATAATTATTTTGTTATCTATAAATTTGTACATGTAAAGCTGTTATTTACATATATTCCTGAACAGAAAAAACTACTTTTAGTGGTGGAATATTTTGCTCGATTAATGTGTGATGATATTTAAAAATCCTTTTGAAAGACACAAAATAATTTCCTTGTTTTTAAAATCACAGCTGGCCTAATAAATTTAAAGCACTGCACTTTTGCCCCTGTATGTACAGTCAGTGTAGCGAAGCTGTGCTCTTCATGTCCTACCTGAACTTTGCAGTTTCTGGTTCCATCTCGAGCAGCTCTCTCACAGGAGAGCGTGGCACATTGGCAGAGAATTTCTCTGTAATTGGTGAGGGGATGAAGATTGGTGAGGTAGAAAGAGATGGTATCATGACGATTCAATTGACACAACCACAGAAGTGGCAAATTATCATGAATGTTTGCAGTCATTCAAGCTCTCTGCATGCGCTGCCCATCAATCACGGAGGATAAACAAGAAACACAGAAATAAATAGAGAAACATGCTTCCACTCTTTCTCACCTATAAGTGGCCTCATCATTGGATAATACACTTGCCACACAGTCTCCAATGACATCCTGCTGTCCATGTAAATTGCTCCAGCTAGCGACTCAAAGATATCTCCCATGGCCTTAGGGACTTCAATGTCCTCCTCCTTCTCTTCGTCTTCTTCGGAGCGTCGCAGCTGGAGACAAAAACAACAAAGCTGTGCGTCAGCTGACACACTGACAGCTGTAACACCCCCAACCAGTTACAGCTGCCCCTCCCTGAGCCCCTTTCTGTCAGAGGTTCCTTCCTGTTAAAAGGGAGTTTTTCCCTTCTCAATGTCTATCTGCACTCTGACAGGTTGCACTGATGGCAACACAATAACCAGATCCCAGTTACATATGGAGTCCAGCACTGTTCCCAGTCTGAGGCTTCTTATATAGTGCTTTTCTACTCTTAGCACTCAAAGACTTTTACACAACTCATTCACCCATCTGCACAAGCACTTTCTTCTATGCTCTCTAACATTCACATGCATTTATTTCCGATGGATGCACCGGAGAGCAACATGGGGTTAGCATCTTGCCCAAGCAGACAGGGATCGAACCATAACCCTTCCAATTAAGTAGGTGACCTGCTCTACCACCTGAGCTGCAGCCACCCCGTGTTAACTCTATGCTATCAGCCTAATCTTCTTCTGTGTAATGGGGACATTGTGAGTGACTTTCCTGTAAAGCTGCAGAATTTAAGCCTCTGTCTGTTTAGCATTACCAACTCACATTAAGTCATCTCTCCATTGCTTTTACAGCTTTTTCTGTCTGATTTGACCCCCAAATATGTTATTTTATTGTTCAGCTTAGGGCGCTCTGCAGAAACATTGAGAAAGGATTAAGCCAATGGCTATGGTAGGAAAGAGTGTGCAAGTTATTGCTTAATTTCTTTCTCTCACTTTTTTATTTTTATAAATGCGTTCTTGTTTATATGCCTGCTGTCCCCTAAGGCATAAAAGTCCTTAAGCACAACGAAAGGAGATTTTGGTGCCAAGCTAGCCTTTTGCAGACGAATGAAACCCAAACGTTGGAATATGAAAACAGCTTAATAAAAGCTGGCAGCCTCGTTATTCGCGGCGAGCGGTTCTTGAACTTATTTCAGAGGGCAAAGCTACAACAACAAACATTAGGCTTGTTCCTGCAGAAGCGATAATAACCACATTCTTCAGAGAAGCAGGACTCACCTCAGAGTCCATGCCTTGCATTTCATTCTTCTCCAGCTGAAACTGCACAAAGTCATCAATGACGTGGAAAAGCTCTGGCGAGATGGCCTTGAAGTACTTGTGATAATCGTATTTAACAGCCAGAGAGGCAAAGATGGTGTTGTTGACGAGCGCTGAGCGCAGGTCAGTCAGTACTCCAGGAGAGTGCTGCCGTGGATCTTCGTAAAGGTGCTTTGTTATGAGGTAGTCTAGAATTGCATCGCCAAGAAACTCCAGCCGCTGGTAACAATCTGAGAAAAAGTGAAAGAAACACAGATTTGTCAACTGGAGATGCACAACTAAGAATGAAGGACAAAGTCAGTAAAGCATAAGGTTTACTGACCTGTAATGGTGTTATAATGGTAGGAAGCGTGAGTGAAGGCTTGCAGGAGATAAGCCTTGTTCTTAAAAGTGTAGTTGATCTTTTTTTCAAAGTTCTCAAAGCCAGATATGAGGTGGTTGAGAGTTCGTTCTGCATCTGGATGGTCCAGCATGCAGCGGGGTGGGATCTTGAGCCAGCCGTAACACAGGTCTGCGACTTGAGTATGAGTGTAATCCTGTGCCGCTGCTCCAGTCGGTGGACCTCTCTCCAATGGTAAAACCTGTTGTCGTTTTATTAAAAAAAAAAAATAATAATAGGAGAGAGAGAGAGTTTTGCCTTGCATTCTTTAAAACGTTACTTTCAAACAGTGCCATGTCTGTAAAGCTTGGGTCCTTCCAGATTTGAGCTGATGCAAGTACTCGGTCCATAATTCTCAATATTTTATGCATCACAAAAATTAACATCATTAACATCACTGCAATGTTTTCCTGAACAATACATGTCGCCACTCAAACTCCATAAACTCCATGTTAGGACGCAGGGGGAGGAGCTTGCTTAACTTTGCGATCGCCTAACTGGCATGTTCAGTAACTGACATGTATCTGAATTATTTATAATTAATATAAAAATATTATCAAATATAATCAACTATTTATTTGAACTGAGTCAGGAACATATAAGACCAAAAGTGAAGCGTGTTGCAAAGCTGAGGCCAACAGCAAAACAATGAACAGTAATAAAAAGTTTGTTCTGAAAGCTGGTAAAGTACATCCAAATCAGTATTATAATTCATGTATTAAGTTCAGGCCCAGGTTTAGTTTTTTCTATAGTTATTAAATAACACAGTAACAAAGTATTTGCCACTTTCCACTGTTACAAAAGTGAAATCTAAATTTGAAGAAGCCACTTTCATCTGTGGTTTTCACTTTGGACTACTCAGGTTCTCTGCAAATGCTAAACAAGCCTGAAAGAACAAACAGGCAAAGGAAAAAGTGCATTCTCCAAAATCGGGGAACTCTTTTATAGATGTTATAATAAAAAACTTAGGGAGAAGCAGTGGCAGGAAATATTCCACATCATGTTTATGCTCATCAAAAGGACATGTGGTTTTATTAGGATTCTCAATTGATTCATTTTTGTGCGTGTTCATTTGTTTCTGCATTGCAATGCATTCTGAGCTCACCTTGAGGCCCAGTGAACACAGGAACATTTGTGCAGCTCTCTCTCCACAGCTGGTCAGGTAGCAACCTAGCAGAGCTTCGACACAGTCAGCGATGCTCTTGTCTGCGATGCACTGCTCTGTATGCAGGTCGTAGGATATGGACTGCTTACCGAGCTCAGTGCCACAGTTCTCTTCCGATGGATTCCAAAAGCCTACCACAAAGTCATCCTCCTCACCGGCCTTGCTGGGGTCCAGGTAGCACATTGCATCCCACGAGCTGTAGTCAAACTCCTCAGGTGAGGGCCCACTGGGCACCTGCTCTGTGGGGTAATGAGCTGCGGTTGGATGGGAGGGCTTCTTGGGGGTCTTCCAATCATACGGAGATTCCATAGCTGGTGAGGAGCCTGAAGCTGGAGTAAGATTGGGAGGGAAGCCACTCAACGAGATCTTCTTCCCAAATGCTCCAGATCCCAGCAACATGTTGTCAATGAAGCGGATGTGCTCCTTGTAATACTCAAGATCATCCTCCATGTTCACTTCATCTTTTGGCTCATCTTTCAGCATCAACTCGCCATCTTCATCTACATCCTCGCCCTCGTCATCATCCTCATCATATTCGTGTCCAGATCGCCCGTTAGCCAAAAGCTCCTCTTTGGCCTGCATGAGGAAAAAAAAAAAAAGTCAATATAGTCCAAAAATCAATAGTTCATATTTCTATAGTATAATCACTGAAGTCTCTTCAGCACAAATTACTTTCTCCTGGGAGTAATTAAGTAATGTACTGCATTAGGTTTAAGAAAATTGTTCTGTGTCATGCATGTAATACGTTACCTTTTTAAAAATAATAACTCCAACACTGATCACAACAAAGAGAAGAAACGCCTCCAACGCACACAAACATTTGAGCACACAGCTCATTAGCATGAATGTAATCTCATTGATATGCTGTGGAGCCAATGAGAATTGATAAGGAATCAAATCGATAACCAATAACAATAACGTAATCAGAACTGCTGAAGCAGGTTTCCAGAGGCAAAATTAATCAAAATGCAACTTTAAGTATGTGAGCTGTCATTCATAGCCTACAGTTTAATGTGTGTTTACTGAAGTATGCATATATAGACTACACATTGACATTAACAGACGATATGTCCTAAGCATTATCAAAAAACATAACTAAAATCTTAATAAAAGTCTAATTGTGCACAGCGACTGTGTCTTGCTCCATTTTGTGAGTGTTTCTGTAAAAACACAGAGGAGACTGCTATCTGAACTAAATTAGAAAATGAGCCTGTCTCAGTGTTTTACTGCTTTTTATTGTTAAGCATTAGTTTTATTGCAATTTATTTCTGTTTTACATTTTCCTGCAGTTATTTCTGGGACAGTATATCATTCAACACAAACACAGTATTGCAGGCCTGTTTTCAGCACTCTGGATATTTCCTGCATTCACACAGCATTAGTCCATCTCGTTTGTTATGCCACTTTTAAGCACTGTTGATGTACATAATGTGCCTAATTAAAATCATGTGGGGCACCAGGTTACTTTCAGTTCAGCATAAAGTTGAATTTGTCTTTGGCCTGTTCTCTTAGCAACAGACTTTCATAGATTATTGGTACAATCTGGAGCAAAGGCTATACAGCATTGTGTAATTTCCCACCTCCATATGTGGATGACAAAAAGGGATGCCAGGGATGAAAAGTATATAGAAAGCTAGCACCACACGAACCATGAACAAACTGTCAGGTGAACATCTAATTTTATGGTATGTATCATCATCATCACTTCAAAAATAGATCTCCTTAAAATGTTCAATGACTGGATGTTTGGGCATATGGTTTGATTCACTGAAGGTTATTATCTAAAAGGAAAAGATTTTAGTCTTTTCTGTTTTAGGTTGTTCCTTTTTAGCTCACATCTGACCATTAACTGTGTTTTATTTCAAGCCTTTTTTCCCAAGTGGTGTATAAAAGAGTGTGTCGAAGGATTTTGGTTTTTAACCTTCATTATGAAAAACATTATCTGAGCTCCAGGAGTTCAGATGAGAGTTCAGACCTGTTCGACATGCAAGCACACAATCTCACCACGAGTTGCAAAACACGGAGAAAGTCTGCCCTCTACTGGCCCGTCATCGTCATTACATGAAACAACCTTTGGAAACTCCTCAGCGAACACACCGATCGACTACCACACAACAAAGAGAAAAAAACAGAGCGTATAAAGCTGCAGTAATCCACTGACCTCCTCTGAATTCATTCTGTCGGTGCTGCTCTTGTCCTGGTTGACCACATATCCAGGAGGCAGCCAGTTAACTGGAGGGTCGAAGATGGACACCACCATTCTGCTAGGAAGCCCTTTCTTCTTTCCCAGACGGTACAGGTTACAGTTGCTCACCTGGACATCAGGCAGAGTGTGAGTAACACAATGAAGTCATCTTGTCTTAATGGACACTGTGACATCAGCCAAGCCAGGACACAGTGCAAAGATGAGTTCTTAAAAAGGGTTTGCAGCTGTTCCCAAATGACACTAATCAACAAACCAAATGCTAATGCATCCAAGTCATTTTGTGTCATTTGCCTTGTTGTAGACAGCGATGAAAGTGTGTACATCTTCAGCCGGGCTGCATTCCATTATATACTGTTACTGTGTACACACATGCACGGCCTGTACCTTACTACTGCCACACGGTTCAGAGAAATAACATGCGTCTCACCTTCTTGCTGCGCATGTAGCTGAGACGTCCTTCGTGAGCATCAGGGTAGGTACAGAACAGGTATGTAGTGATGGCATGCTTCAGGAAAGAGTCACCGAGCATCTCCAGCCGCTCCAGGTTGAAGCCGTCGCTGGCATTAGACAAGGTCAGGGCCTGCAGGATGAGACCGGGGTTGGGCCCCAAGCTCTTGGGTGAGTTTGCTGCGTGGGATCCATGCTGGGGACGAGCACAGACATCAGAAGGTGCTGTGAGAGTGTTGGGACTCGTGGCTGCTCGGCTGCAGACTGAGGTAGCTTTTTTTGTGTGGTCTGAAGTCCTCCCCGATGTACATTCATCACTAGGCTGTGGAGGACTGGAGTTGGGCTTCTTCAAGGTGTGAGGGGGCTGCACAAGAACTGAGGTAGTGCTTTGTACTGATTTGGAGCTCTGCAGCCCAGCAAAGCTGAGCTGGGAGCATTGGCAATTGTCACATTGGGGAAGATGCTCATTTTGGTTGCCATCGTCACAGCTAGCAAAGAAGGCAGTGCCATTAGTTAGGTTCCTGGTGCAGGGGGCTTCTTCAGAATCTAAAGCTTTGAAGTCCTCCTGCTCAGACATGGAAGAGTGCTCACCACTGGGAAGCATTAGGGAACTGGGATCAGGGCTTATAGTCTCTTGGTGCTTACAGTGACTGGCACCTTCCTCGCTGCAGGACTCAGGGCAGGATATGAAGGTTTTGCTGTCAATAGACCTTTTCCAGCCGAAGTCCAGGTTTGGATATCTGCCACATACAGAGCATCTACATGTTAGCGTGTGCACACACACACAAGTTGTTCACAAACAACAAATCCTAAAAGAGAAGATTTGGTTTTCTTAACTAAGATCAGACATTAACACTAACTCATCAAGTCCCAATGGGACACTTTGGTCTGGCCATTCTTGTGGATGTTACTTCGACATGTGCCACCCACATCAGCATTCTAACAACTTTATCATGCAATCAACTCGTTTTACTGTGCAATAGGAAAAAATGTGCAATTTTGAGGACACCAACATTTATATAGTCCTTTCCTAGTCTAATAAGTCAAAAGGCTTTACAATCTAACCAACAGTCACCCATTTTCTACACTTGCACTCCAATGAACAGTTTTAATTGTGTTTGTGTATGAATCTTTTGGAAAGTGTGACGCGGAAATCTGTTATTCTATTGTGTATGTAACAGCAACCTGAAGTCAGGGGGGAGGGTCTGGACTCCCACTCCGGCCTCACTAGCTGTCTGAGCTCTGAGCTCCTCAGCAGTCAACAGGCAGTGTAGGCGGTAAAGTATGCTGGGCAGACACACTGCTTTTCTCCACAGGGAGGCTGGAATAGGGTGGATGGCACACAGTTCTGGGACCAGGATCTGACAAACACAAAGCACATGAGACTGGGATTGTCGGAATAAACAGCAACTCACAACAAGACTTCGTCTCTGGCACTCACTGGTCTAATAATTCCTGAAAGCTAACAGATCACCATCAACCCTGTCCACACACATGATCATGCCATATTAAATAATGCATCTTTGAGAATAGTATTCTTTGATATAATAGGTTATAGAAATCAGTAATAATAATAATCATCATCATCATCATCAATCCATCCTCTTTTCCAGTTCAAATTCACAGTAGGGCTGGAGCCAGAGAGACGAGCGTTTACCCCACAGCCAATTCAGAACCAGTATCTGGACTGTGGGAGGAACCCCGAGCACCCGGACACAGACACAGGGAGAACATGCCCACTCTACACAGAAAGACTCCAGCTGACCAGTGGATGGAAACAGGACCACTGTACTAACCAGCAGTAAAGTGATATCTAGAAACGTTCTTTAAAAACACACAAAAATGAAATATGAGCATGTCCCATGTTCCTTTACACACAAAATTATACTAGGTTTCCTACACTGATGGATATCTCCTCACCCTACAATCTAACAGAGGCAGCGAGTACCTGTTTGTTCTGTAAACTCTCCCACTTGGCCTTCCTCTTCTCTGCACTGCTGAGTGGCAGGGCTTTGCCCTTCTGGTTTAGGTGTCGAGGGGTTAACAGGTTCAGTCTGCGATGGGACAAGAGAGTTGGAAAGCCTGGTCACCATAGTGAACATTTAAATTTATATATACGCATAGTAGAGCTGGGCGATAGAACGATAACGATATGTATCGCGATATAACTTTTACTCGATAGAGAAATTAAGCTATCGCGATAGACCTCGCCGCTCTT